GAAACCGGCCATAAAGGGTTTTTTCGAAGTTTTAGCCGGTATTCTGTGTTTTTTTATAAACAAAATTTAGTTTGGACTTTTTCATAAATTTGACTAAAATTTTAGGACTTTTCTGGAGATTTCCCTATATATATATATATATATATATATATATATATATATATATATATATATATATATATATATATATATATATATATATAATGAAAACCAATATACTCAAAATGTGAAGGTCATATCATCCTCTTGTCATATCATCCTCTTATTATTGTTTATCTTCTTCTCTTCTTTAAAATTACAATTGAAGCAACCTAAAAATAGTTTTACTCTTGAACATTTTGAAGCATCAATCAACAGGAAAAATAAAGCAACCTTTTATCATATTCCCATGTTTATTATATTTATTCAGTCTAATTTCTTTTATTTTGTATTTCAAAATGTGTTTGTAAATATTTTGGTATTATGATTGTTGAAGATGTCGGCTGCTGATCAATCAACAAAGATGTAAATTTTGCTAGAATGTTTGTTAGTTGAAGTCTTTGCAAAGGTTGGATCATCGTCTCTAAAAGACATACTACATGCAAAAGAATGTTAATTTTCTCTATTCTTTATATACACATTAAATATTACATATAATCGGTCCTACAATCTATATTAAGCACAATTTTATTTTTATTTTTTAGTTTATGTGATTAGGTTATGTACTAATTAAAAAACAATATTTATTCATCATAATTGAGTTATTGTATCTAACTATCTATAAACATAATTTCTGAAAAATATCTATACAATATGTTATGATGAAAGGAATGTGATATTATACATGACTATACCAAAAATAATTTATAATTATTTTGTTTGTTAAGAATATGCCATTTAATCATTATCATTTAGACATGTATTTCAGAAGTTGTTCTTTTAATATTTGTATTTTTCAGTTGCAAATTATATTTTAGAAATTGCTCTTTAAATTTATTGATTTTTATCTTGAATTTGAGATTCAACTGATACATTGTATTTAATATAGGATGAACAAGTAGTCTAAGTTGTTGAAGGACTTGATGAATGATTGAAGTTTTGTCTTTGTTTGTTGAATTTGTTTGTTAGTATGTTTCTAGAAGGTTTGGAGAGGTTTTATTTATTTATTTAGAATTCTTACGTTTATGTTATTTATATGATATTTTTACCAAATATTTGCTTTTAAAACTAGATAGTTTCCTCAAAAATTATCATCATACTTATAAAATATAATGATGATGAAAATTTATGAGGAAAATATCTATTATTAAATTTTTAAGATTATTTAACAAGCTTTTTCAAAATCTTACAGTATGTTTTTGAACGTGTGTCACTGGAAACCGTTCCAATCACTTGATGAAAACTTGTAGATGAATATGCAATTGTGTTTTATTTAAGATGTTTTGATGAAGGCAACCCAGAATCATACTTCATATTTGGAATGGTAAAATTTTTACTATACAATTTTATATCAAGTCATTTATTTATTAAAATAAGAACATTAATATGTATATTAACATACTTTTATTATATTTATAGTTATATATTTTATTAATTATCACACAATTTAATATAGATGCTTTCAACCGTGGTATAAGCGTCCACTAAGAATTGTTGGACAAGCCTTATAAAGTTCACAATTAAAGAAAATCATTAACCCTATTTTCAAGCAAATTTTGTACAACATAATCATATTATAATTTTATTTCATACTGCTTAGCCAATAATAATTTTCAATGTACAACTAATGTATCTTCTAATTACCATAAAATATATTTTTTGTATATGTAACAATATATACTTAACAAACTTACATCCATTAACACATAAAAATAACTGTGAGACATATTCGTGCATTATAGCATCCTATTTTATTTATTCTTTTTATTTAATTTTAAATAAAAATTTACGTTGATTGTGCATTGAAAAATAATAACATTTTAATGCTTGGTTTTAAATAAATGAAATTTCAAGTTATTATACTTTTATTATTGTTGATTTTTTTTTTGTTTGAGTTCACTACCAGTAACACATGGGATCAAGGATGGATTTGTCAAAATTTGTTATATACGAACATAATTTTTTATGTAGAAAGCAACTCCTATATTTTATTAAAGTGGATTTGTCAAAATGGTCGATCGAATCTGGGCCAAATATTGGACCATTTATGCGACGTTAATTCTTGGAAGTGTTGAAGTTAGAAACTTGAACCAATGTTTACAGCTGGGCCTAAGGTACTGCACTTCTATTTAACTTGGCCAAAATTGGCGGGCTGATAATTTAGTGTTTGGAATCAATATTAGCTTTTTTTCTCACTTTTAATAATAAATATTTTAAAATTTTAGTTTCTAGTTGTTTTTTTTATATAAATATTTTTCTAAAAATCTTAGGAATCGTCATATGATTAAGATATGTAAAATTTACTATTTTTTGTTTTTATATATTTATTAATATTAATATACTTTTAGTAATGTAAATGTTTTATGACATATCTATAAAATTTCTTAATACTAAATTCCTTAAATAATCATATAAATTCAGTTTCATTTCTTTTAAAAAGTACGCCTCATAATGTAACTTGGTTTATTGTTTACGATTTATTTAACAATGATATTATCTTTATATCATTGTTAAAAAAATTAGGAAGAAAACACACATCAGACTTTGTCAAATATTTATATTTTATAATATATATATATATATATATATATATATATATATATATATATATATATATATATATATATATATATATATATAGATTTTTGATTATAAGACATCGTGGCTAGTATAATTTTGAAAATATAACAATAGATTTTTGATTTTGTTCATTTAGTAACTCTTTTTTTTTTGTTTGTACACCATATAACATCCAACTTATTGAAATTGTTCACATACTGTCTTTGTAACCTATAATAGTCGATCACAAGAGTAATATGTGAAGATCTTCAACAACTTAGATGGTATATCGTGTACAAAAAAAAAAACAATAAAAAACTAAATATGAATAAAATCAAAAGTTCATTACCCTCCTGAGTTATTTTCCTAATTTTGAATAGTATCATATTATTTTGAACTATATCAAAGTATTAGTAATTAAAAAGTCATGGAAATATATGTATATATGTTTTAGATCATAAAAAAACTATGGATCATAAAAATATTAAACATCATTATATTTTTAAATTATATCATTTTGAATATTAACATATTGAATCATACAATTTTGTATTATATCGTATCATTTCAAATTATTATATAATTTTGAGTTATATATCGTTTAAAAATAATCAAATTTTATATAATAAATCATAACATTTTAAGTTATGACATTTTAGATCATAATATTTTGAATAATAACATTTTGGATCATATTAATATCAATCAATTTTATTCTTAGGAGTTTGCCAATAATAAGTTTTCTCCTTCATAAAAAGTTTTAAACTATAATAGTTTTTTTGTTCATAGCATCTCATGATCCCAAAACCGGACCATTTTTCATTTTTTGCAAATCTTAGTAATCATGATGCTTTCGTTAGAGAAAAAATAATAATAACTTTAGTGTTTTAATTTTCTTATTTATAAAGCCAAAAAAATATTAATAAAATATGATTTACTGGGTAACAAGAAAATCACTTGCCCAACCGTCATGTCTCTGGAGAGAAGGTGAGGCGCATCTTGGAGCGTTACATAAAATGGAAAATAACCAAACCGAATTGAATGATGTTTTATTTATTTAATTTTTGAGTAATTTGATTTAGTTAAACAAATAAAAATAGGTTATTTGGTTTGGTTACATTTTCACTAATATACTTTTATATTATATCTTTATAGATTAACATTTTATTTTAAGTTTGTAGACTACTTATCAAAGGTTTTATTAAACTTATTACTTAGTAATTGGTAATATAATAGTTTTACAAATAAATATCGTATTTATAATTTTAGAAACTAGGAAGTGCGGTATGTGTGTAGTGTGTGCATTAGGTTTTCCGTATGTCATTGGATATTCAAAACGAAAAAATTCTTCTTATATAAAGTAGAAAAAACATCATAAATGGTCTCTGTGTTTTCCCAAAATCTGAAGTTTAGTACCCGTGGTTTAAAAACGTCATAGATGGTCTCTGTGCTTTCAAAACTTTTGACGATTGGTCATTATTGCTAACTCCGTTAACTTTTGTCCATTAACTGAAGGGCATTTTCGTCATTTCACTACCATAGGGACCATTTATGATGCTTTTTCTTAATTTTTTAAAAAAGAAAATAATATGCAAAAGGTCTCTCTCTCTCTCTCTCTCTCTCTCTCTCTCTCTCTCTCTCTCTCTCTCTCTCTCTCTCTCTCTCTCGGAAAACACCCCTTTTAGACTCCCTACCCTATTCTTCATATTCCCGTGTCTATTCACCAACAACCTCCCTTCCCTTATGTCCATCATTTTTCAATCATTCGACAATTATTCAAGGGAGCTAGTGGGTTTCTTGGTGCAGGTTACTGAGTGAGAAAAAGAATCAAGTGAGAGAGGGGAGAAATTTAGAACCAGAAAATAGAACAGGGTTTGTGATTCGATTCAGCCACCGCTAGTGCCAAAGTTTGATCAGATCGATTTAGACTCTTTTCTATTCGCTTTCTTTCATCATTCTACTTTCATGTTCCTTTTTATAATTTGTCGCCTGTAGATTGGATTTGGTTATAAGGAGGCTTTGATGATTTTGTTTTTTGTAGTTGATCTGAGCATCAAATTGGGGAAATGGTGAAATTTCATCCTGTATCTTGGCGGGGCAACCGTTGTTGCAGCCATGGCGGTGTGGCCCATTTTTCCGATCAAAATAACAGATTTGAGCCTCAAATGTTAATGTTACCGTTGATTTCTTGACTCCAATGAGGATTATCAGAGAAGCCATTGCTAGTTTAGGTAGTCCTGCTCCTATATTGGTTTCAGAAGGGGGCTAACACCATGGATGTGGGTCGATCCATTTTGGTCCAAATGGAACCCAGAACCTGTTTAGATGCAGGAACATGGGGAGCAATGGGTGTTGGTTTAGGGTATTGTATCGCAGCAGCAATAGCTTCGCCTGATCGGCTTGTGGTTGCTGTTGAAGGTGATTATGGGTTCGGATTCAGTGCCATGGAAGTCGAGGTTTGCTTTCTTTTTCTTTTTTTCTTCCCCTGAATCTAACTTCTTCTTTTTTCAAGTGCAGTTTTGTGGGTGTGTTTGTGTGTTTTTCCTTTAATTGCAGGTTGAGAAGAAGGGGCAGAGAATGAGATGGCCACCTGCAGATCTAAAACGGAAATAGAAATTGGAGAAGGGAAATGAGGTGATGTATCTAGGTGATGACGAGAGAGAGAGAGAGAGAGAGAGAGAGAGACCTTTTATTTAATTATGTTTATTTTTTTTAAATACAAGAAAACATCATAAATGGTCCCTGTGGTAGTGAAATGATGAAAATACCTTTCAGTTAACGGACAAAAGTTAACGGAGTTAGCAATAAGGACCAATCATCAAAAGTTTTGAAAGCACAAGGACCATCTGTGACGTTTTTAAACCACAGGGACTAAACTTCAGATTTTGGGAAAACACAGGGACCATTTATGATGTTTTTTCTATAAAGCAAATATAAGTTTTGATTTTCTTGAAAACATCATAATCTCGTAATTATTTAATGTTGGAATTAGTCTCCTTAGTTTTCATATCAAGTGAAGCTGTACATTCTATTCTAATCATGTGTAATTTATGGTAAAAGAAGTTTGTTATGGAAAAAGTGAATTGTAGTAAAAACGATTGTCATTGTTAATTATAATAAGGTGAAATTTTAATATGTTGGTCAAGCGGTTTTTTATTTGGTTTAACCATTAAACCAAACTGAATATATCGAAACTGAATAACTTAGTATCGATTGAACTGAACTTTATTTCATTTGGTTATAGTAAATTAAAGTTAAAAAAACGATAAAAACCAAACCGAATTAACCGAGAACTCATAAAACCGACCAAATAACACCCGTAGTGAGCATAGACTCGCGTTAGTGTTATAACTAGTTTCAAAATCTCCAAATTTACTACCTCCTTAGTTGTACAGGTGAGATAAAGCCTTGAATTGCTTTAGTTTGAGAATGTTATTTAACAAAAGATAGTTGAGGAATGTTTTACTTCGTGTGATGAGGATTCCGTGGATATAAAGTTTGTTGAAAACGGAGTTCGTATGAAAAAGTTATGGCAGTTTGAAGTTGGAATGAAAGTAGGTTGCTATTTTGAGAAAGTCAACAAAAGTCAAAGTCAACGGTCAACTTTTGACCACCACGACATCAAAGTATGTTTGTCACAACGTGACAATAGATGTGTCATGACATGAAATGTGGCGAGTCACCGAGACACGTGGCAAAATGGGGATAAATTTGATTGTCACAATGTGACACTTAAATGGTCATGACGTAAATATGCAAGTTCTTGTGTCATTTGGGGGATTTTAGGCACATTCGATCGGAGATGCTGCTTGAGAATTGTTCGTGGGAGTTTATACCGGAGGAGTTATACCAATGTACGTGAGATACGAGGCTAAGTTACAAGATCATGGATGTATCTTTTACCCCATTATTGTGTAATTGTTATATGTGATAGTTGTCGGGACTTGTTAGACCCAAGCATAGGTTACGAGTGTTCGTGATATGGTGCTATTACATACCTGTTGGTAATATTTGTAAATAAATCTTACGGTGAGATAGTTAGTTAGGACCGTGAGGGTTGTAGACCCTAATTTACTAAAGTTACCCGATATGGTAGACTTAGTTAAAGACTTACAGGTTAAGCCTATTGTGGTTGTATTATCGAGTATAATGAGTTTGGTGACAAATAGTTAGAGAGTATAGCAAGTAGTGAATTGAGACAGGTTCTGAGGAACTTAATAATTATTGGTTAGATATTGGCATATGACAAGTTGGAAAGCAGATTAGGTCAAGGACCGGAGTTGATGTGTCTGCCAGCTAACCAGGTGAGTAACACTACTCTAACACCTGTTGTTTGTGATAATTATGTGTCACAATATGTGAATTATATTGTAGTGTGAATGATTGGTTATCGTATATTTGATATTATGATGTTATAGAAATACACATGTACCACAGGATGGTATGCTTATATGTGTAGGCGAATCAAATGAGAAAGTGGTGTTTGTTGATGTGTCATAGGTTGACACTGTGTTATTTGTTGAAGTGTCACGGGCTGACACAATGTTATTTGTTGATGTGTCACGGGCTGACACTATGTTATTCGTTGATGTATCAATGGTTGACACTATGTTATTTGTTGGTGTGTTATTAGCAGACATGCTGATCATTGGGTAATTGTTGAGTAACAATTTAAGGTTTACTTGTGAAGTTGTGTTGATACCTTTTTAGATCTCGGAGATTCGTGATTATATTTGTTGATGAATTGTTTGATATATGTGTGATATTTATGTAGTCATGTGATGCATGTTATTTTAGTTGTTATTCACTAAGTCGTGCAACTTACGGTGTTTGTTTGTGGTTGTTTTGCAGGTTAGAAGTAGTAGTGTCTGGCTCGGATCATGTACTTGTGGCCAATACGACCCCTGGTGATAGCTTCTTGTGCTCTAGAGTAACAGTTTACACAAGAATGTTTAAAAAGTTATGTTTATAAAGTGGTTGTTTTTTGGGTGTACCTGGTGTGAAAACCTAGACGTCACAAATTGGTATTAGAGTTGTGGCTTAAGTAAATTAGGTGCTTGTAGTATATGCCTAAACTTAAACCGTGAGTTGGAAAATGTTATTTGATTCTGTTTGGTAGATATGAGTTAGCCAACTGTTGAATAATTAGGGATTTGTGATATTTACATATATGCATATGAGTATATATAATTCCCTATAAATACTTGCGGAGAGGGTTATGGTACAAGGCGTGGTACCTGTGTAGTGCATGTTGTAGTTGGTGTTGCGATGCGTGGCATGGTGCGAGTTATAGTGTATTATATGGTGTATATTTATATATTTCTATAAATGATGTGATGGATGTTACAGTATAGGTAATGGTAAAAAGTATCGCAATGGATGTTATGTTGTACGTGGTGGTAAACATTATTACAGTACGTGATATAATGGTGTTATGGTGTACGTTGCAGGACCCATGTGATGTGGAGGAGTTCGAGTATAATTCAAATGTAAATGAGTGGTAGAAATTTTAGAAAAAATCACGGTGTGCCGGTTTGAAAGACACCACATGGCGGATTAATAAAAAACCGCTGAACTTTGCTAACCACGACGTGGACGGAGAGTGACCACCACGTGGTCATAAAGTAGAATGCTATAGTTGAATTGTATAGACCACGACGTGATGAGATTGAGATCACGACATGGCTGAACCACGACGTGGTGGAGATGATACCACAACGTGGTTATGGAACATGAGTAAATGGTGTAAATCACTTAAAGTTAGCACGACACGAAGGAGTTTTCCGTGACACAGACTGAACTAGATTGTTATATGCTTAATTATGCTGATAGACCGTGACATTATGAGATGTTTACCATGGAATGGTGCTTGGCAAAAGTAGATTGGAATGTTATAATATTCATGATGTTTAAAAAAAGGAGAAATGCCAAGAACATATCGATTGCAAGGTTGTGAATCAGAGTAAAGTTATTACTCCTAAACGAGAAGTTATTAAGTCACAATATGGCTTGTATGAATTGAAGATGTGAATTGAGAAGTTTCAGGGAATGTGTGATCCCTGATATGAGAAATTGGTATACTGGATGTTGATTTTGAATGTAAATAATACTTCCGGTGGAAGTAACAGAATATAAATAATATGATCAGTGGAGAGTAGTGAATACTCTTTGAAATGTCACATGCTTACATTATCCTTGTTGTGGTGTCATAGGTTGGCATGATATCATTGATGGTATCACAGGTTGATATAAATTGTTGACACTTCATAGGTTGACAAAATGAGTTGATAGTGTCACAGGTTGACATGAAATGATTTGATAGTGTCATAGGTTGACACGATATGAGTTGATAGTGTGTCACAAGTTGAAACGATATGAGTTGATAGTGTCACAGGTTGGCACGATACATCACATGTTGGCATAAGGATTAGATGATGCCACAGGTTGACACTATGATAATAAGATTGTTAGAGTGAGAAAAAGATGACATCTTTGTAGTGATTATTGAGTAGTGACTCAAATGTTGTATTTGAGAAGAGTATGAAAAATGTGGGGTAATATGAAAGTATTCACATATGGGATATTCCTTAATGTGTAGCTATTGAAAAGCTGATGGTTGTGTTGGAATATGATTTACAATGGTTCGACCTATTGAGCGTTTAGCTGATATCCATTATGAAGGATTTGTTGGGTGTTTAGCTCATATTTATTAGTGTTAAGATCTATTGTATAATTGAGGAGGTGTAGAATTTATGGTGTATTGAATTAATGTATGTGTCGAGATGTGGAAATGTTGTGTACACTGAGATGATATTTCAGTGGTAAATAATTAAGTGAATTGTGAATGTTAATACCCCATTTAATGACCGTGGGTATTTGTTTATTGATGTTGGTGATATACTCATGACTTGAGGATGAGTAGTAATTCGATTACCAGGTGATAGTCATGAAGGGCTAATAGAAATCGTCAACTTTAAATTAGTAGAAAATGAGTACTGCATGTTACAAAGAAAATGAAAAGGATAGACGAGTTACGAGTAACTGAAGATAGCTAAGGATAGTATTTGTGTTTCTATCCTCATTGTGTGTGATCTTCTACATTATGAATTTCTCACAAAGTAATATTGATTCCCTGTGAGAATCGAGAAAAGTGCTAATGATCAGAAGAAAATTGAAAATGAGTGATGTGTTAGATAGTTATTCTTGGGAAGACTATGAGTTAGTACAACTCCTAAATTATAGTATGAGATTCCAGGAGATTCCGAGGATGGAATCTCTTGAAGAAGGGAAAACTTGTAATACCTATTTTCTTAACAGGCATTACCCTAAGAGATAGATCGTTGTGAGATGAACAGATGAGATAAATCCTTGAGTTGCTTTAATTTGAGAAATGTTATTTAACAATATATAGTTAAGGAATGTTATAGTTCATGTGATGAGGATTTCGTGGATATACAATTTGTTGAAAATAGAGTTCGTATGAAAAAGTTATGGCCATTTGAAGTTGGAATGAAAGTAGTGTTGGATTAGGTGTCTAAGCCCATAACTATAATTGGTATGTACTTGACCCGAGAGTAGCATGGCCCATTTGGGTTGCCTTCACCAGGACAATT